CCCCAGGAAGAGGAAGTAGGCTCTTCCCTCTTCTGCAGCTCCCCAGAAAGAAGAAGTAGGCTCTCCCCACTTCTGCTTGCCCTATCACTGAAATCTCTAGTTATGTATAACCATAATATTCCTTCCTTTAGAAGAAGAATCCAATACCAAGATGTTGCTTAAAAATTGTTTATACCATGTCTACAAATGACACATAACTCTCAGTTTCTGCACTAAGCAGTCTCTTACTATGGGTATGTATAGCACCTAGTACCACGGAGACCTGATCTTGATTTGGGCTTCTAGCTGCAGCAGTAATAATAGGAATCAGGCTACTAATGTTGAAATATAATTGTGCATATTTCAAAATCTTAACCGACTCCCAAGAGCACATTGTACATTTCTTGGAGAAAGGTAGAGAGCTAACGAACTCTCTGCACACAGTAATGTTTTATATGAAACAGAACACGATTTACTCTTCTGGTTCATTAAGCAATAAAAAGCCTAGAGCTAAATTACGCAACAGTCAGACATTAACAACTTCTGTGGCTGTTGTAGGAAGCTCTGCAGCACTCTTAACTTCAGTCATTGCAACCTATAGCAGGAGGAATAATGTGATAACAAATTCTTCCTTCTATCAATGTTCCAGCCTTTTATAGGGGATATGGGCTAACAAATACCACTTTTATTCTTGCCAGGTTTTTAGCATCTAGCCAGCTGGACAAGATAACTTCACCTGGGTTTTTGTTCTGTTAGAAGAAATGAACCATGAACTGCAACAACTGCCAGCCCTTGCACACGTTCTATTTACCTTCATGATGTTTTGAAGTCAAGACAACATATTTTGCACCAGAAGCCTTCAGAATATCTGCCCACTGGTTGGCATCAAAAAACTCGGCTGTAAACAAAGGGCCAAAATCTTCATAACTGAAGCCAGGAGGGTAATTTGTCTCCATAAATTTTACATAGGCTGGTCTCTTTTCCTTCTGCCAATACCACCTTCCAAATACACAATAAAAATATCCAATGACATTTAAAATATATATATACAGTTATAATAATCAATTCCTGTTTTGCCATTCTAAAGGGCGGTGCGCACTGTCACAGACATACTGTGGAAGTACACTGGAAATAACATAAAACTGCCTCAGGCAATACTAGCTTTGATATTTGGAAGCACCCTGGTCTACCTCCCTCAAGGACTTCATTTGAGGGACTGCCAGTGTTTCCTACTGAGCTGTGTGGTACACCAGCTAAAATTTGATGGGAGTGGGGAAAATATAGTCTTATTCAGGGGCCAAATGCTGAAAACTTACTACCAGGCATACAGGGCTGATGTGGGACGTAGGCAGCTACGTTGGGTGCCAGTTTTGTAGGAACACCCCTGGTTCTGGGCCAGCACAGGCATGGACTTCTTTAACTGTGTCCCCCTGTAGAAGAGTAAGAGCAGCCATACCACCAAGCACAGCACAGCTTTTTTGCTTCTGCCTCTTAAAGGGCACCCCCACTTTCCAGTAGCTACTTGGGATGACAGCCATCTCACTGCTCCATCTACCCCCACCCCAAGCACAACTTTTAGGGAGTTTTGCTCCTTTAAAGATGGGCCTCTACCCCACACCAGCAGCAGCCAAAAATTGCCACACAGACAGAAGCAGGTCTCCAGTGTGGCTGTCCCCCACACCAGCACAGGTATGAGGAGGTGTGACAGGGTGGACTAGGTCTAGAAGCCTCACGGCCCTGCCATAACCCACTCAAGAAAAGAGCAGAGGAGAAGTCCTCCCAGCAGCCTAGAGTGGTTTTAGGAGAACTGCTAATCAGAGGGGCTCCTGGAGTGACCAATCAGGGGGCAGAAGGGCCAAATAAAAAGAAGCAGCAGAGCAGTCAGTTACTGCCTGGAGTTTGCAGAGGGAGAAATGGGTGCTTGGCTAGCTGGAAGAGCAGCAGGACTGCTAACAGATCAGTGAGGGTAAGCTGAGTCTAGGGGACCAAGCCCAGAAGTTCACCAGACCAGGTGAGGGTACCGTGATGGACTCTGCTGGTCTGGTTGAAGGCTGATCCCAGTCAAGGGCTGCCAAAAGGACACCTACTGAGATAGACCCCTCTTGGGCTGTTAAAGAAAGTAGTGCCTTGGGGAAGGATGCCCTTGTGCTATGGCCCCATACTAGGGCCATGAGCAAGAACTAGAGACTGTATACCCCAGAAGGGGGGACAGTGTATGTGACTCGGCTGGAAGGCTAGTCAATGAAGACCTGCCAAAAGAACCACCAGCCAGGGGAGTGCTTCCCCATTCAAAGCTGAGCGATTGCAGGCATGAATCAGCTAGAGAGGTGGATGCCAGCCCAATTACAGGTAGGAATTCTTAGGGCAGCAAAATGTCCAGCACCAGTCCTGTGGATTAGTGTTTTCCACAGAGAGGAAAAAAGGTGGGTGAAATCATATCTTTTATTGAACCAACTTCTGTTGGTCAAAGAAACAAGCTCTATGTAGCTCTTAATCTTGTCTCTTTCACCAACAGAAGTTAGGCCAACAAAATATATTACCTCATGCACCTTGTTATCCTAGGACCGACATGGCTACAACAATACTGCTTACTACATAAACAGTTCTATTGTCTATGGGCATAGCATGGGGTAGCATGAGTCTGTCACTGTAGAAATGCTATGGCCAGTAGTAAGGGTTTGTGGGGTTACAGTCATTAGGTTTCAGAGAGTGAGGCAGAGCAGCAAAGACCTAGGTAAGCTTAGACACACACTGGTCATTCAAAATTGGGGAGGAAAATAAACTGAATTTTTTAAAAATGTGTTTAAATCCCAAATTGAGGATCAGGGTCTGATCTCAGCAATATTCACGTAAATCCAGAGTAACTCTGCTGATAGCAATAAAGTTAACCCAAATTAACATGGACATAAGTGAGAACAGAACCTGGCCCCTTGTGGGGAAAAAGCTGGACGAAAAGGCCCAGAAATCATCCTGTGGAAAAAAATAGTTGCAATCTCAAGACATTTTAGTGTCTAAGGAAACTGATCACACCTTCCCCTCTCTTCTCCTTTGCCATGCACCGGTTGCTAATGACGTTAAAACGGACAGAATTGAAATTCCAAAAGAAACAAACTGAAAAGTGATCTGCTGAGATCAGAGAAGTGGGAACAGCTGCAGGCCAAGGAAGAAAGTTGGTACTAACAAATAGGCTGTAATGACAGGGTAAATGAGGGTAAACCACAAGTGTAAATGCTATTTACAGTCAATAAAAAGAAAAGGAGTACTTGTGGCACCTTAGAGACTAACCAATTTATTTGAGCATGAGCTTTCGTGAACTACAGCTCACTTCATCGGATGCATACCGTGGAAACTGTCAATAGTTACTATTTACAGTCAATAGTCCACATTAACACCGATGTAAGAGCAAAATCTGGAACATGGCTAATAAATAACAGCTCAAATACAAAATGCGGGGGGACATAACCAAGCAGCCTGATCCATTGCTTTAAAGTGAGTTTATTTTAATTTTGTACCACCTTAACATTTCTTTTTTGTGTAATCAAACACTGTAGTTTATCATAGGAAAGTCTGCAGTCAGGATTGGGGAGAGGAGGGGTTTACAAGATCATTTCTATTTTAGGGGGAAATTCTGCCCTCATTTACAGCCTGTACAACTCCATTATTTTCTAAATGACTGCACAGAGTGCCCAGCCCATAAAAAAAAAATCCACATATAAAAGTTTGAGGACAACTGGCACTGAAAGTGTAAGGGAGGATTTGGAAATATTATACAAAAGGAGGATAGTTTTGCCAGTGGATGGATCTGTATGGTTAATATACTAGGAAGGAAAAGTGATTTTTTTGCAATGACACTTCAACCACAACCTTTCTTTTGGAAGGGTCTGTATCATGGCCAAAGCTTTCTTTTCTATTTTTGGTACATTCGGTATATTTATGATTGAGGTAGAGCCCTTTTGCCCTACATCAGATGCATGAGTACTTTCAGGAGTTAATAGAACAGACAGCATTAACACTCTCAAACTAGAGATGGCATTTCAGTCAAGAATATTTTACACTGTACTAAGAATATTCTATTAAACTGTAGTTGGTATCAAAGGCAGTCAAGACATCATCTTTATTCTTTGTCCAGAAAAGTTAAGAAGTAAAGTGCAGCCCACATCAGAGCTGTTTAAACCCATCCCCTGCAGCTCTGTATGTGTTGTCAAAATTCTGCCTTCAGAAAATCATGTTTTGCATGTATATACCTTTACTAAAATTATTTAATTAAGCCTTATAATATCCCTGTGACAGAGATCTTATTACCTCAATTTTACAAATAGCAGAAGAGATTTGTGACTTCTTCAAGATCACACAGAAAGTCAGGGGCAGACTATGGCATAGAAATGGTAAATCAGTTTACCAGACAAAGGGATTGATTCTGTGAACACTCACATGTGTCAAATAGTTTACCCATGTGTAAGTGTTTGCAGGACCTGAGTTTTCTCTTTTCTGTGGAAAGGATCTCTTTAAAAATCACCAACCATTAACATAACATTAAAAAAAGCCAGTTTCATTAGTTCACTAAATATAGGCTCAAACGTCAGACCTGGATTATGGATACCCCCAAACTCCACAATTGCTCTGATTTGTGGTTTTTAGCCAGCCCGCTATAAATACAGGAGCACACTTGCAAAATTTGTTTGTGGTGTTACATTTTAAACACTCCCCACGTTCAAGGACTCAGATGTGAGGTTTTGGTTCAATTCACTTACATCATGGGGATCCACATCTAGGTTTGGGTTGAAAACGTTCTCCAAATTAGGGAGCTGTGTTCAGACTAGTTGGGGCCAGATTTTACTGCTAAGAGACAAGGGAATAATTACCACATACACTGGGGGAGGGAGGGAATGGAGCGTGAAAGGTTGTTTACTACAGGGTGCAGCTTTGTTAGGGAAAGAAGAAAGAACAACAGGCTGCTCTGTCGACAGAAAGAGCAAGGGGAGCTTAAAGAGGCATAAAGGAGGAAGTGAGGAGCTGAGAGTCAAACGCATGGAAGGCTCACCAGAACCACTCACTGCCGAAGCTGGGCACGGAGAACACGCCCCAGTGGATGAAGATGCCAAACTTGACTTCATCAAACCAGGTCGGAAGTGGTCTGGAATCCAGAGACTCCCAGGTAGGATCATAGCGCGCACTGCATCCCTGTGGGCAAAGGAGCAGGCAGAGGAGCAGCAGCAGCATAGCTGGCAATAGGGAGGATGCAGCAGTCTTTGGCTGGGGATGGTGTGTTTAACGTCTCACGTGAGAGCAGTCAGATGACAACCCGCGGCAGGCAGGGCTGCTTCCTGCTCCTTGTTTTTACACCCAGCGAGGCTGCTGGGTGCAGTTTAGTGCATTGTTTAGCAAGGGCGGGGCACTGGAGGACAAGGAGGTTACGAGAATAATTTCTTAGGCTCTGATTTTTTTTTCCAGGCTTGCTGAGCAAGGAAAGGAGGCTTGGAGGGAAGCTGAAACCAGGCCCTACATCAGTGTCTCTTAGGGAACCCAGGATGAGTGGGCAGTGTGAAATTTGTAGTGCACACACTCACTGATTTAACGACTCAACCTGGTGGTATTTGCCCTCATTTGCTATATGAAAAGATGGGATTTGAGCATCCAGGCACCATCTAGGGCCAGGACTTTGTTGCCCCGTTCCAAATGCAATTGGTTTGAGACAGACCTGCTGTTACATCTAGTATGATCACTAGCACAGTTGGTGCATAGAAATTGAGCGGTACCTTCTGAAAAATCCCAAGAACAAAGGAAATTTATCTCTCGTTATTTATAGGACAATTAAGGAAAATTAAACTGTAGGCCTGCCCACCTTGCTCCCTGGAACTGAGTTCTGTAGACCAGTGGTTTTCAAACTGTGGGTTGTGACCCAGTACTGGGTCGTGGTGGCTCTAGTCAGCGGGGCTGCCTGGCTAAGGCAGGCTAGTTCCTACCTCTTCTGAAACTGTGCTGTGCCCCAGAAGTGGCCAGCATGGGGGGGGGAGGGGCCTTCACATGCTGCTCCCACCCCGAGCACCAGCTCCGCACTCCCATTGGCTGGGAATCGGGAACAGTGGGCGAGAGCCGCACAGAGTCGCTTGCACACCTCTGCCTAGGAGCCGGACCTGCTGCTGGCCACTTCCAGGGCGCAGTGCGGTCTGTGGTGCCAGGACAGGCAGGAAGCCTGCCTTAGCACCCCCTCTGCGCCGCTGACCAGGAGCCACCCAGGGTAAGCCTGTGCCCCACCCTGCGCCCCAATCCCCTGCCCCAGCCCTGAGCCCCCACCCAAACCAGGAGCCCCTTCCTGCACTCCAAACCCCTCATTGCTGGCCCCATCCCAGAGCCTGCATCCCCAGACCAGAGTCCTGAGCCCCTTCCACACCTCAACCCTCTGCCCCAGCCCTGAGCCCCCCCAAACCTGGAGCCCCAAACCTGGACTTGATAGCCCCTCCCCCGCCCTGTAAACTACAACTGTGGTGGCACGACATAGACCGTGAACCTCTGAATAAATGTCTGGAAAAGTGCTTCATTGTGCTTGCTAGAGCTGTTTGAATTGTAAAAAAATTAAACTTCAGTACATTTTTCACAAAAAATATGCACCATTGTAACCAGCCCTAGTGCTAAGTTATCATTTATTTCTGAATTTTTATTTGAGCACAACCGACTTCAGGAAATATGCTCTGTGTCAGCCATAACTTTAAATTACCACAAAGTGGCAGTGTTTCAGAGCATTGCTGGTAGAAATGGAGGAGTTTCTGCAATGTACTTAGCACTAGTGCATAGTACATCAAGTAGCAGAATTGCATGATTTCAAGTAGGACAGTCAATTAATCACAGGTTTAGCCTGCTGCAGTTTCCACGGTAAACATCTGATGAAGTGAGCTGTAGCTCACGAAAGCTCATGCTCAAATAAATTGGTTAGTCTCTAAGGTGCCACAAGTACTCCTTTTCTTTTTGCGAATTAATCACAGTTAACTCATGCGATTAACTCAAAAACATTAATTGTGATTAAAAAATTAATTGTGATTAATCGCAGTTTTAATCACACTGTTAAACAATAGAATACCAATTGAAATTTATTAAATATTTTTGGATGTTTTTCTACATTTTCAAATATATTGATTTCTGTTACAACACAGAATACCAAGTGTACAGTGCTCACTTTATATTATTTTTTTATTACAAATATTTGCACTGTAAAAATGATGAACAAAATAAATAGTATTTTTCAATTCACCTCATACAAGTACTGTAGTACAATCTCTTTATCGTGAAAGTGTAACTTACAAATATCTATTTTTTTTGTTACATAACTGCACTCAAAACCAAAACAATGTAAAACTTTAGAGTCTACAAGTCCATTCACTCCTACTTCTTATTCAGCCAATTGCTAAGAGAAACGAGTTTGTTTACATTTATGGGAGATAATTCTGGCTGCTTTTTTTTTACAGTGCAAATATTTGTAATCAAAAATAAATATAAAGTGAGCACTGTACACTTTGTATTCTGTGTTGTAACTGAAATCAATATATTTGAAAATATAGAAAATAGAAAAAAATATTAAATAAATGGTTTCAGAGTAACAGCTGTGTTAGTCTGTATTCGCAAAAAGAAAAGGAGTACTTGTGGCACCTTAGAGACTAACCAATTTATTTGAGCATGAGCTTTCGTGAGCTACAGCTCACTTCATCAGATGTATACCGTGGAAACTGCAGCAGACTTTATATATACACAGAGAATATGAAACAATACCTCCTCCCACCCCACTGTCCTGCTGGTAATAGCTTATCTAAAGTGATCATCATCAGCTGGGCCATTTCCAGCACAAATCCAGGTTTTCTCACCCTCCACCCCCCCACACAAATTCACTCTCCTGCTGGTGCTAGCCCATCCAAAGTGACAACTCTTTACATAATCAAGTCAGGCTATTTCCTGCATAAATCCAGGTTTTCTCACATCCCCCCCCACCCCCATACACACACAAACTCACTCTCCTGCTGGTAATAGCTCATCTAAACTGACCACTCTCCAAGTTTAAATCCAAGTTAAACCAGAACATCGGGGGGGGGGGGGTAGGAAAAAACAAGAGGAAACAGGCTACCTTGCATAATGACTTAGCCACTCCCAGTCTCTATTTAAGCCTAAATTAATAGTATCCAATTTGCAAATGAATTCCAATTCAGCAGTTTCTCGCTGGAGTCTGGATTTGAAGTTTTTTTGTTTTAAGATAGCGACCTTCATGTCTGTGATTGCGTGACCAGAGAGATTGAAGTGTTCTCCGACTGGTTTATGAATGTTATAATTCTTGACATCTGATTTGTGTCCATTTATTCTTTTACGTAGAGACTGTCCAGTTTGACCAATGTACATGGCAGAGGGGCATTGCTGGCACATGATGGCATATATCACATTGGTGGATGTGCAGGTGAACGAGCCTCTGATAGTGTGGCTGATGTTATTAGGCCGTGTGATGGTGTCCCCGGAATAGATATGTGGGCACAATTGGCAACGGGCTTTGTTGCAAGGATAAGTTCCTGGGTTAGTGGTTCTGTTGTGTGGTATGTGGTTGTTGGTGAGTATTTGCTTCAGGTTGCGGGGCTGTCTGTAGGCAAGGACTGGCCTGTCTCCCAAGACTTGTGAGAGTGTTGGGTCATCCTTTAGGATAGGTTGTAGATCCTTAATAATGCATTGGAGGGGTTTTAGTTGGGGGCTGAAGGTGACGGCTAGTGGCGTTCTGTTATTTTCTTTGTTAGGCCTGTCCTGTAGTAGGTAACTTCTGGGAACTCTTCTGGCTCTATCAATCTGTTTCTTTACTTCTGCAGGTGGGTATTGTAGTTGTAAGAAAGCTTGACAGAGATCTTGTAGGTGTTTGTCTCTGTCTGAGGGGTTGGAGCAAATGCGGTTGTATCGCAGAGCTTGGCTGTAGACGATGGATCGTGTGGTGTGGTCAGGGTGAAAGCTGGAGGCATGCAGGTAGGAATAGCGGTCAGTAGGTTTCCGGTATAGGGTGGTGTTTATGTGGCCATTGTTTATTAGCACTGTAGTGTCCAGGAAGTGGATCTCTTGTGTGGACTGGACCAGGCTGAGGTTGATGGTGGGATGGAAATTGTTGAAATCATGGTGGAATTCCTCAAGGGCTTCTTTTCCATGGGTCCAGATGATGAAGATGTCATCAATATAGCGCAAGTAGAGTAGGGGCTTTAGGGGACGAGAGCTGAGGAAGCGTTGTTCTAAATCAGCCATAAAAATGTTGGCATACTGTGGGGCCATGCGGGTACCCATAGCAGTGCCGCTGATCTGAAGGTATACATTGTCCCCAAATGTGAAATAGTTATGGGTAAGGACAAAGTCACAAAGTTCAGCCACCAGGTTAGCCGTGACATTATCGGGGATAGTGTTCTTGACGGCTTGTAGTCCATCTTTGTGTGGAATGTTGGTGTAGAGGGCTTCTACATCCATAGTAGCCAGGATGGTGTTATCAGGAAGATCACCGATGGATTGAAGTTTCCTCAGGAAGTCAGTGGTGTCTCGAAGGTAGCTGGGAGTGCTGGTAGCGTAGGGCCTGAGGAGGGAGTCTACATAGCCAGACAATCCTGCTGTCAGGGTGCCAATGCCTGAGATGATGGGGCGCCCAGGATTTCCAGGTTTATGGATCTTGGGTAGTAGACAGAATATCCCAGGTCGGGGTTCCAGGGGTGTGTCTGTGCGGATTTGATCTTGTGCTTTTTCAGGAAGTTTCTTGAGCAAATGCTGTAGTTGCTTTTGGTAACTCTCAGTGGGATCATAGGGTAATGGCTTGTAGAAACTCGTGTTGGAGAGCTGCCGAGCAGCTTCTTGTTCATATTCCGACCTACGAAACTGCAGAAAAACCTGAGTGTCTCTGGATTAAGTTTAGAAGTGTGTGCAACAAGAGTGATGTAGTGGTGGGAGTCTGCTATAGACCACCGGACCAGGGGGATGAGGTAGATGAGGCTTTCTTCCGGCAGCTCACGGAAGCTACTGGATCGCATGCCCTGATTCTCATGGGTGACTTTAATTTTCCTGATATCTGCTGGGAGAGCAATACAGCGGTGCATAGACAATCCAGGAAGTTTTTGGAAAGCGTAGGGGACAATTTCCTGGCGCAAGTGCTCGAGGAGCCAACTAGGGGGGGCGCTTTTCTTGACCTGCTGCTCACAAACCGGGTAGAATTAGTGGGGGAAGCAAAAGTGGATGGGAATCTGGGGGGCAGTGACCATGAGTTGGTTGAGTTCAGGATCCTGACACAGGGAAGAAAGGTAAGCAGCACGATACGGACCCTGGACTTCAGGAAAGCAGACTTCGACTCCCTCAGGGAACGGATGGCCAGGATCCCCTGGGGGACTAACTTGAAGGGGAAAGGAGTCCAGGAGAGCTGGCTGTATTTCAAGGAATCCCTGTTGAGGTTACAGGGACAAACCATCCCGATGAGTCGAAAGAATAGTAAATATGGCAGGCGACCAGCTTGGCTTAATGGTGAAATCTTAGCGGATCTTAAACATAAAAAAGAAGCTTACAAGAAGTGGAAGGTTGGACATCTGACCAGGGAAGAGTATAAAAATATTGCTAGGGCATGTAGGAATGTTATCAGGAGGGCCAAATCGCACCTGGAGCTGCAGCTAGCCAGAGATGTCAAGAGTAACAAGAAGGGTTTCTTCAGGTATGTTGGCAACAAGAAGAAAGCCAAGGAATGTGTGGGCCCCTTACTGAATGAGGGAGGCAAACTAGTGACAGAGGATGTGGAAAAAGCTAATGTACTCAATGCTTTTTTTGCCTCTGTTTTCACTAACAAGGTCAGCTCCCAGACTGCTACGCTGGGCATCACAAAATGGGGAAGAGATGGCCAGCCCTCTGTGGAGATAGAGGTGGTTAGGGACTTTTTAGAAAAGCTGGACGTGCACAAGTCCATGGGGCCGGACGAGTTGCACCCGAGAGTGCTGAAGGAACTGGCGGCTGTGATTGCAGAGCCATTGGCCATTATCTTTGAAAACTCGTGGCGAACCGGGGAAGTCCCGGATGACTGGAAAGGGGCTAATGTAGTGCCAATCTTTAAAAAAGGGAAGAAGGAGGATCCTGGGAACTACAGGCCAGTCAGCCTCACTTCAGTCCCTGGAAAAATCATGGAGCAGGTCCTCAAAGAATCAATCCTGAAGCACTTACATGAGAGGAAAGTGATCAGGAACAGCCAGCATGGATTCACCAAGGGAAGGTCATGCCTGACTAATCTAATCGCCTTCTATGATGAGATTACTGGTTCTGTGGATGAAGGGAAAGCAGTGGATGTATTGTTTCTTGACTTTAGCAAAGCTTTTGACACGGTCTCCCACAGTATTCTTGTCAGCAAGTTAAGGAAGTATGGGCTGGATGAATGCACTACAAGGTGGGTAGAAAGCTGGCTAGATTGTCGGGCTCAACGGGTAGTGATCAATGGCTCCATGTCTAGTTGGCAGCCGGTATCAAGTGGTGTGCCCCAAGGGTCGGTCCTGGGGCCGGTTTTGTTCAATATCTTCATAAATGATCTGGAGGATGGTGTGGATTGCACTCTCAGCAAATTTGCGGATGATACTAAACTGGGAGGAGTGGTAGATACGCTGGAGGGGAGGGATAGGATACAGAAGGACCTAGACAAATTGGAGGATTGGGCCAAAAGAAATCTGATGAGGTTCAATAAGGATAAGTGCAGGGTCCTGCACTTAGGACGGAAGAACCCAATGCACAGCTACAGACTAGGGACCGAATGTCTAGGCAGCAGTTCTGCGGAAAAGGACCTAGGGGTGACAGTGGACGAGAAGCTGGATATGAGTCAGCAGTGTGCCCTTGTTGCCAAGAAGGCCAATGGCATTTTGGGATGTATAAGTAGGGGCATAGCGAGCAGATCGAGGGACGTGATCGTTCCCCTCTATTCGACATTGGTGAGGCCTCATCTGGAGTACTGTGTCCAGTTTTGGGCCCCACACTTCAAGAAGGATGTGGATAAATTGGAGAGAGTCCAGCGAAGGGCAACAAAAATGATTAGGGGTCTGGAACATATGAGTTATGAGGAGAGGCTGAGGGAGCTGGGATTGTTTAGCCTGCAGAAGAGAAGAATGAGGGGGGATTTGATAGCTGTTTTCAACTACCTGAAAGGGGGTTCCAAAGAGGATGGCTCTAGACTGTTCTCAATGGTAGGAGATGACAGAACGAGGAGTAATGGTCTCAAGTTACAGTGGGGGAGGTTTAGATTGGATATTAGGAAAAACTTTTTCACTAAGAGGGTAGTGAAACACTGGAATGCGTTACCTAGGGAGGTGGTAGAATCTCCTTCCTTAGAGGTTTTTAAGGTCAGGCTTGACAAAGCCCTGGCTGGGATGATTTAACTGGGAATTGGTCCTGCTTTGAGCAGGGGGTTGGACTAGATGACCTTCTGGGGTCCCTTCCAACCCTTATATTCTATGATTCTATGATTCTATGATTCTATTCATGATGACAACAGCACCTCCTTTGTCAGCCTTTTTGATTATGATGTCAGAGTTGTTTCTGAGGCTGTGGATGGCATTGCGTTCCGCATGGCTGAGGTTATGGGGCAAGTGATGCTGCTTTTCCACAATTTCAGCCCGTGCACGTCGGCGGAAGCACTCTATGTAGAAGTCCAGTCTGCTGTTTCGACCTTCAGGAGGAGTCCATCTAGAATCCCTCTTTCTGTAGTGTTGGTAGGGAGACCTCTGTGGATTAGTATGTTGTTCAGAGGTATTTTGGAAATATTCCTTGAGTCGGAGACATCGAAAATAGGATTCTAGGTCACCACAGAACTGTATCATGTTCGTGGGGGTGGAGGGGCAGAAGGAGAGGCCCCGAGATAGAACAGCTGCTTCTGCTGGGCTGAGAGTATAGTTGGATAGGTTAACAATATTGCTAGGTGGGTTGAGGGAACCATTGCTGTGGCCCCTTGTAGCATGTAGTAGTTTAGAAAGTTTAGTGTCCTTTTTCTTTTGTAGAGAAGCAAAGTGTGCGTTGTAAATGGCTTGTCTAGTTTTAGTAAAATCCAGCCACGAGGAAGTTTGTGTGGAAGGTTGGTTTTTTATGAGAGTATCCATTTTTGAGAGCTCATTTTTAATCTTTCCCTGTTTGCTGTAGAGGATCTTGATCAGGTGATTCCGCAGTTTCTTTGAGAGCGTGTGGCACAAGCTGTCAGCATAGTCTGTGTGGTATGTAGATTGTAATGGATTTTTTACCTTCAGTCCTTTTGGTACGATGTCCATCTGTTTGCATTTGGAAAGGAAGAAGATGTCTGTCTGTATCTGTACAAGTTTTTTCATGCAGTTGATAGATTTCCACTCCATACGGCTAAATGCAGTGCCTTGCATAATGACAGGTTTCAGAGTAACAGCCGTGTTAGTCTGTATTCGCAAAAAGAAAAGGAGTACTTGTGGCACCTTAGAGACTAACCAATTTATTTGAGCATGAGCTTTCGTGAGCTACAGCTCACTTCATCAGATGTATACCGTGGAAACTGCAGCAGACTTTATATATACACAGAGAATATGAAACAATACCTCCTCCCACCCCACTGTCCTGCTGGTAATAGCTTATCTAAAGTGATCATCAGCTGGGCCATTTCCAGCACAAATCCAGGTTTTCTCACCCTCCACCCCCCCACACAAATTCACTCTCCTGCTGGTGCTAGCCCATCCAAAGTGACAACTCTTTACATAATCAAGTCAGGCTATTTCCTGCATAAATCCAGGTTTTCTCACATCCCCCCCACCCCCATACACACACAAACTCACTCTCCTGCTGGTAATAGCTCATCTAAACTGACCACTCTCCAAGTTTAAATCCAAGTTAAACCAGAACATCTGGGAGGGGGGGGGGTAGGAAAAAACAAGAGGAAACAAAACGATGCAATTAATTGCACGATTAATTGTGATTAGTTTTTTTAATCATGCGATTAATCACGATTCATTTTTTTAATCACTTGACAGCCCTAATTTCAAGGTTTCATAGCACAATGCTTATATTTAAGCAATATTACAATGGCCAAAACTCTGAGGGAGAGGGGGAAGTTCCTGGAAGGTGCAGGGGAGTTTTCAGAAAAGATGATTTGGCAAGCTCACTCTGAAGAAGAGCTCTGTGTTGTTCAATAGCTTGTCTCTCTCACCAACAGACATTGATCCAGTGAGAGATATTACCTCACCCACCTTGTCTCTCAAAAATCACAGGAATTTTCAAAGGTGAACATGGATATTGCTGGATTTTTGAAAAGTCAGCCCTGGCTCTGAGCATGCAATCTGCCTGGTCATTCTGTCTTAAGCTGTACATTCAGCCACCAGGCTTCTCAGTTGTCACATGAAGCTATGCCCTGGTCTACACTAGGACTTTAGGTCGAATTTAGCAGCATTAAATCGATGTAAACCTGCACCCGTCCACGCGATGAAGCCCTTTATTTCGACTTAAAGGGCTCTTAAAATCGATTTCCTTACTCCACCCCGACAAGTGGATTAGCACTTAAATCGGCCTTGCCGGCTCGAATTTGGGGTACTGTGGACACAATTCGACGGTATTGGCCTCCGGGAGCTATCCCAGAGTGCTCCATTGTGACCGCTCTGGACAGCACTCTCAACTCAGATGTACTGGCCAGGTAGACAGGAAAAGAACCGCGAACTTTTGAATCTCATTTCCTGTTTGGCCAGCGTGGCAAGCTGCAGGTGACCATGCAGAGCTCATCAGCAGAGGTGACCATGATGGAGTCCCAGAATTGCAAAAGAGCTCCAGCATGGACCGAACAGGAGGTACGGGATCTGATCACTGTATGGGGAGAGGAATCCGTGCTATCAGAACTCCGTTCCAGTTTTCGAAATGCCAAAACCTTTGTCAAAATCTCCCAGGGAATGAAGGACAGAGGCCATAACAGGGACCCGAAGCAGTGCCGCGTGAAACTGAAGGAGCTGAGGCAAGCCTACCAGAAAACCAGAGAGGCGAATGGCCGCTCCGGGTCAGAGCCCCAAACATGCCGCTTCCATGATGAGCTGCATGCCATTTTAGGGGGTTCAGCCACCACTATCCCAGCCGTGTTGTTTGACTCCTTCAATGGAGATGGAGGCAATACGGAAGCAGGTTTTGGGGACAAAGAAGATGATGAGGAGGAGGAGGTTGTAGATAGCTCAGAGCAAGCAAGTGGAGAAACTGGTTTTCCCGACAGCCACGAACTGTTTCTCACCCTGGACCGGGAGCCAGTACCCCCTGAACCCACCCAAGGCTGCCTCCTGGACCCAGCAGGCGGAGAAGGGACCTCCAGTGAGTGTACCTTTTAAAATACTATACATGGTTTAAAAGCAAGCATGTGAAAGGATTACTTTGCCCTGGCATTCGCGGCTCTCCTGGATGTACTCCCAAAGCCTTTGCAAAAGGTTTCTGGGGAGGGCAGCCTTATTGCGTCCTTCATGGTAGGACACTTTACCACTCCAGGCCAGTAACACGTACTCGGGAATCATTGTACAACAAAGCATTGCAGTGTATGTTTGCTGGCGTTCAAACAACATCCGTTCTTTATCTCTCTGTGTTATCCTCAGGAGAGTGAGATATAATTCATGGTCACCTGGTTGAAATAGAGTGCTTTTCTTCAGGGGACACTCAGAGGAGCCCATTCCTGCTGAGCTGTTTGCCTGTGGCTAAACAGAAATGTTCCCCGCTGAGGGAGGGTTGAGAGGGTAGCCACACGGTGGGGGGAGGCAAAATGCGACCTTGTAACGAAAGCACATGTGCTATGTATGTAATGTTAACAGCAAGGTTTACCCTGAAAGAGTGTAGCCACTGTTTTATAAAATGTGTCTTTTTAAATACCGCTGTCCCTTTTTTTTTCTCCACCAGCTGCATGTGTTTCAATGATCACAGGATCTTCTCCTTCCCAGAGGCTAGTGAAGCTTAGAAAGAAAAAAAAACGCACTCGAGATGAAATGTTCTCCGAGCTCATGCTGTCCTCCCACACTGACAGAGCACAGACGAATGCGTGGAGGCAAATAATGTCAGAGTGCAGGAAAGCACAAAATGACCGGGAGGAGAGGTGGCGGGCTGAAGAGAGTAAGTGGCGGGCTGAAGACAGGGCTGAAGCTCAAATGTGGCAGCAGTGTGATGAGAGGAGGCAGGATTCAATGCTGAGGCTGCTGGAGGACCAAACCAGTATGCTCCAGTGTATGGTTGAGCTGCAGCAAAGGCAGCTGGAGCACAGACTGCCACTACAGCCCCTGTATAACCAACTGCCCTCCTCCCCAAGTTCCATAGCCTCCATACCCAGACGCCCAAGAACGCGGTGGGGGGGCCACCAGCCAACCAGCCACTCCGCAACAGAGGATTGCCCAAAAAAAAGAAGGCTGGCATTCAATAAATTTTAAAGTTGTAAACTTTTAAAGTGCTGTGTGGCATTTTCCTTCCCTCCTCCACCACCCCTCCTGGGCTACCTTGGTAGTCATCCCCCTATTTGTGTGATGAATGAATAAAGAATGCATGAATGTAAAGCAACAATGACTTTATTGCCTCTGCAAGCGGTGATCGAAGGGAGGAGGGGAGGGTGGTTAGCTTACACGGAAGTAGAGTGAACCAAGGGGCAGGGGGTTTCATCAAGGAGAAACAAACAGAACTTTCACACCGTAGCCTGGCCAGTCATGAAACTGGTTTTCAAAGCTTCTCTGATGCGTACCGCGCCCTCCTGTGCTCTTCTAACCGCCCTGGTGTCTGGCTGCGCGTAACCAGCAGCCAGGCGATTTGCCTCAACCTCCCACCCCGCCATAAACGTCTCTCCCTTACTCTCACAGATATTGTGGAGCACACAGCAAGCAGTAATAACAGTGGGAATATTGGTTTCGCTGAGGTCTAAGCGAGTCAGTAAACTGCGCCAGCGCGCCTTTAAACGTCCAAATGCACATTCTACCACCATTCTGCACTTGCTCAGCCTGTAGTTGAACAGCTCCTGACTACTGTCCAGGCTGCCAGTGTACGGCTTCATGAGCCATGGCATGAAGGGGTAGGCTGGGTCCCCAAGGATACATATAGGCATTTCAACATCCCCAACAGTTATTTTCTGGTCTGGGAATAAAGTCCCTTCCTGCAGCTTTTGAAACAGACCAGAGTTCCTGAAGATGCGAGCGTCATGTACCTTTCCCGGCCATCCCACGTTGATGTTGGTGAAACGTCCCTTGTGATCCACCAGAGCTTGCAGCACTATTGAAAAGTACCCCTTGTGGTTTATGTACTCGGCGGCTTGGTGCTCTGGTGCCAAGATAGGGATATGGGTTCCATCTGTGGCCCCACCACAGTTAGGGAATCCCATTGCAGCAAAGCCATCCACTATGACCTGCACATTTCCCAGAGTCACTACCCTTGATATCAGCAGATCTTTGATTGCGTGGGCTACTTGCATCACAGCAGCCCCAACAGTAGATTTGCCCACTCCAAATTGATTCCCAGCTGACGGGTAGCTGTCTGGCGTTGCAAGCTTCCACAGGGCTATCGCCACTCACTTCTCAACTGTGAGGGCTGCTCTCATCTTGGTATTCATGCGCCTCAGGGCAGGGGAAAGCAAGTCACAAAGTTCCATGAAAGTATGCGAAAGTTTCGCAGCCACTGGGAGTCGTCCCAGACCTGCAACACTATGCGGTCCCACCAGTCTGTGCTTGTTTCCCGAGCCCAGAATCGGCATTCCACAGCATGAACCTGCCCCATTAGCACCATGATGCATGCATTGGCAAGGCCCATGTTTTCAGAGAAATCTGTGTCCGTGTCCTGATCACTCACGTGACCACGCTGATGTCGCCTCCTCGCCTGGTATCACTTTGCCAGGTTCTGGTGCTGCATATACTGCTGGATAATGCGTGTGGTGTTTAATGTGCTCCTAATTGCCAAAGTGAGCCAGGGGGATGAGGGGTTTTGGGTTCAGGAGGGTGCTCCAGGTCTACAGTGAGGAGAGAGGACTCCCCCCAACTCTCTCCTTGCAGCACCACCTGGGCTGCGGGGGAGGGACGCCTCTCCCCGCTGTGGCAGCCCAGGGGCTGGAGCCTCAGGATAGGCGCCCCTCCCCCAGCCCCCACAGGTCCAGGCTAGGGCTGGGTTCAGGGAGGGGCACCCCTGGCACCACAGGTCTGGGTTGGGGCTGGCAGGGGTGCTCCACAACAGATCGGGCTGGGCCGCCTGGGTACAGGCCGAGCCGCCCCCGCTGTGGCTGGATCCAGGCTGCACCCCATCTGCCCCATCTGTGGTCCCAGCCGAGGCCCTCTTACCCCATCTATGTCCCCCCTCTCCCACAGCTGCAGCCCCGTTCCCAGCCTTGGCTCTGGGGGCAGGGTGTGGATAAGAGCAAGGGGGGCACAAGGTAAAAGGTTTGGGGACCACTGCGTTAGAACAATGTACTGAGGGTCATGGTGGATTATCAATTACTGACAATTTTTAAATCAAACTTGGATGTTTTTCTAAAAGATCTGCTCTAGGAATTATTTGGGGGAAATGTTACAGACTGTATTATACAGGAGGTCAGACCAGATGATCACAATGGTCCCTTCTGGCCGTAGAATCTATGTATCTATTCACCAAAGGACTGCACAACACCCTGATTCTGGACCACCTTCATCTACAATATGGTAAACTTGCTCTGTGATAGGCAAATAGGCCATTGGAAGGGAGGAAGACTAGGGAAGTGCTTTGTAATGGACAGGTACTGCGAGTGCACTCTATTGGTTGTAAGCACCAAGAGAGAGAAAGAGACCACAAAACCATCCATAGAGAACACTACTCAACGGTCCCCTGCCCACAAGAAATCAGCTCTGTGCAAAGTGCAGTGAGTCACCAGGCAGCTTTGCTCACCAGGCAGCTTTGCTCTCAAGTTGTTCAAAACAACGAAACCAGCTCCGATAATAGAATTTAAGCATAATGCTAGCTTCACTGGGGGCAATAGAAAAAGGTCTCTGCTTGATATACAGAAAGATACAATGGTCACCTTGATTTAGTTTATCCCAAGGGCCAGGACTGGGCTAAGATCAGGTTGAAAAAATCAATAATATTTGAGACACAGGAACAGCAGCCTATGCCACTGCCCCAAACCAAGACACCACTGATGGGCAGCAGCTTTGTATACAGGCTTCTGTGATGCAAACCAGACTCTCCTGTTTGCTTCATGACGTGCAGCAGCAGAAAAGTTGTCTGTTATCTAGAAACCACTGCTTCTTTGTAGGTTAGATTAAACAAAAGGGACTGTGCTCAGTGGGTAGGGTGTTATATGAGGTTGAGGAAGTGTGTGTGTGTGTGTGTGTGCGTGCATGTATGCAACCAATGGACAAAAGCATAGTGACTGGGAACCAATAGGGCTCTCTCATTGGAGGCTCTGAGCATAGGGATTGACCCTAAGTATAAAATAAGATATATGTTGAATGACATACCCCCAAAAACATGGAGGTGTAGGTTACTACCCCTATTTCAACACCCCTCTGCCTACATCTTGCTTTGCAATTGCAAGGCATCCTGCACTCCACTTCCCCTTTACACAGCAGCCCTGTAATTATAACTAGAGCTGGACATGACATTTTTGACTAAACTAAATTTCAACAAAATATGCTGTTTGTTAAAACTGAAACATTTTGGGAGACATAATGGTTTCAAAAGGTTTTTGAGTCCAGGATGGACAGAATGAGAGAGAGACTCTGTAGCTGGATGGTGTTGGAACTGTCCTGGGATATGATTTGGAGTGATATGGGACAACGAAAACTACTGAGTCAGGCAGAATCAGGGTCCCCCAGGGTATGTCTATACAGCAAGCAGGATTCCAGGACAGTAAGTCTCAGAACCTGGGTCTATGGACTCAGATTCACAGGGCTTGCACTATGGTGCAAAAAATAGCAATGTAGGAGCTTGACCTCGGGCTCTGAAGCTCACCCTCCTCCCCAGAGCTCCAGCCCAAGCCTGACTGTCCACGCTGCCATAGTATAAGCCTGAGTCTGTAGACTTGCTCCTGTGGGATCTGGTTTGCTGTGTAGATGTACCCCTGGTCAGTACCTATAACGTGTCTCACACACTCTCCCTCTTTTTATCGCGTGTGTGTGTGTGAAAATGTTCTAAAGGTTCTGTTTTCATTCCAGTATGGAAGAAAAACAGATTCTGAAACCTTGAAAGTTGATATGAAACAGAATTGTTCTCTTCCAATAAGCTCCAATTATAACAAACACACTAAAATACTCAGTTTCCAGCTGTGCCACACTTTGCTGCTCTGATGGTATTCACAAGTGAGAAATTGTGCTGATTGAGACTGTGGTGGGGCGGTGCCCCACCCTCCTGAGAGGAAGGGCTGAACCAGGCCAGAGAGGCTGCGCAGACCCACAGCCAATCAGAGAAGGACTGAGGAGAGCCAGTCGGGGCAGGGGGAGAGGCAGCCAATCAGGGCCGGCATAGGCCCTATATAAAGGCTGGCTAGCAAAGAGCAAGGCAGTCTCTCCCTGGTGGGCAAGGGAGGAGAACTGGCTCTTGAGCTGAAAGGTAGTGCTTGGCCAGAGCAGTGTTGGGGAAGAGCAGAAGGAGCTGGGGAGCTCTGGCCAAGGAAAACCCCAGGCTGCTGGCCTAGATACCAAGGGCTGGGCAGGTGCATAGAGCTGAAGGGGAAGCAACCCAGTGACAATAGCAGGGGAGGGAAGGAGGGTGGGTAGGCTGCTGCTAGAGGGTTCCTGGGTCAGGACCCAGAGTAGCGGGTGGGCCTGGCTCCCCCCCTACCCTCTTATGCTACACCTGGCTGAAGAGGAGCGTGGCCGGATCCAGGCTGTGGCTGGTCCCAGCAACAAGGGGCTAGACTCTGAGGCTGCAGCTGGCCACTACAGCAAGTGCAGATTGTGGACTGCTGATAACACCAAACCCCTGGAAGGGGGCTAGTCTGGAGCAGTGAGCACTGCTGGAGGGCAGTGTCCTGAAGAGGATGCTGCTGAGCAAGGAGCAACATGGGTCCAGATGCCAGCAGGGCAAGAGATGGATGGGACACCACCAGCAGAGGTTGATCTGCACTGGACAGACCTAATTCCCTGAGATGCCAGCGGGAGATGCTGCAGTGGTGAGTCCTGAACCCCGTCACAGAGACCCTACTGCACCATTTGTCATTTGTATTATTATTGTCATTGTTTATATGGTTGTAGTGCCTAGAGCCACCTACCAGGTCAGGGTCCTGTTATACTAGGGATCATACAAATATATAGTAAATTACAGTCCATTCCTCAAAGAGCTTACTGTATAAAAGACACTATGTAATAGTTGGATGAAACACCCAAATGTTATGGGGAGGGTAACAAAAGGACAGGGTAAAGAAAATAATAGGAGTCTTTGGTATAGACTAGCTGCCTGCACAGTCCCTAGCCAATCATTTGCATTAATCACAACTCTCCACCTAACTCACTGCCTGCCCCACCTGTCCATATTCTCCAACCACACTCCTGTATGTTGCTATATCTTTGAATCAAGGAGTCCACTTGGGTCATGATCTCTGCTGGTTGCT